AAAATTGCAGCTTTGGGACGTGAAATCTTTTGATTACGATTTTTTTAAAAAATAAAAAAGTTGAAAATTGAAAACAAAAAAAGACAAGTGTTCATAAATGGAAATGGAAATAAATATTTAAGATAAATTTATAAAAAAGAAATAAATAAGGTGGGGATTATGGTAAAATTTGAATGGTGTTTCCCCAACTCAACAACCGTGTTTGCCTTGTTAAACACGTCTTTTCTTTTCATCAGCTATCAAACTCTATAAATACCCCAAGTTTTCGCTTCCATTTTCTTCTTCCCTTCTCTCTCTGCGATTTTTAGGGTTTCTTTTTTCATTTTCACCTTTTCTTTCAAGGTCTTTTTTCTGTTTTCCTGATTTTCCTTTTTATTTTTTTCCTCTCTTCAAAATAATTCTCTTTCCAGAATCTATATTTCCGCCATAATACATAAGCATGCATTCTGTATTGATTGATGGTATATTTTTATCCTCCCCTTCTCAGGTGTGTGATCTGCGAACTGTATTTTCGCGACAAGGTTCGTCTTTCCTCCACAGAAAACCGCTTTTTACGTTTTTTCCCTCTCGTGATTCCAGGTACATTGCTAGTCCATTTCTTACGATTAACTCATTGCTACTTTCAATTTTTTTTATGCATTACTCTTATGCCTCGTCTTTTTTTTTGTTTCCCCATTTTTCTATCCCAACAGAGATAGAGTTTCTTTGCTGTTTCTTTTTTTGTTTCGTTTTGCAACATACGTGACATATATTTACAGATTCTGAGATCTTTATGGTGATCTAACTGTGGAAACCTTCGTAAGAATTAACAGAGATTTTTAGCTTCCAAGATCTTGTTTTCCTTTTTCTTTCTTTTTTTTTGAGTTTTGTTTTACGGCGCTATTTAGTTTCTTGAGTTTCTAGACCGTGTTTGGGAGATTTGACTTCTTAAACGCGAATGATATGCGTTGAAATTAATATGAATGTTTTTATCAAAGAGAAAAACAGGTCGGTCGCATATGTAAGAAAATTTCTTCTGGTGGAGGTTCTCATTAATTAAAGAAAGCGATGCGGACAGACCATTTCCTATGTTTTTCAATATAAGCGATAGTTTCTGTTTTGTCGGTTGCCCAGAACTAGGTAAAAGATGTTGAAGTTTCGAACCGTGTCTTATTCGCTTAATTTCCGTTGGATGTAAAACCTTAAAAATCTTTTTACGAAATTTCAACTCTGATTTCTTGTTAGATGCCATTTTAGCATACGTTGTTTGTGGACTAGGAATTCTCGCCAACAAGTTTCACTAACATTGACTTTGAATGAATTAAACTATGTTGTAAAAAGCTAACTGCTTTAACCGGTAACTTCCATTCATTTTCTGTATTTTATACTTGTACTTCTTCCTTTATATCTCTAGTCATTCATGGGGTAAAGTTGATGGTCGTTTTTAGTGGTTGAAGCGTCTTTTCAAAATCGAATGGGCCAATCAAATTTATGTTTTGTGTTTATACTGTTTATTATTATTATTATAGTGGTGACACGTTTTTGTAAAAATTGAAAATTTCTATGTATTAGATCTAGAAGTGCTACAATCCAGGCCAATGTCGGGCCATAGCACGTATACCATATCACTTATATATATGCAGACACGTGTAAGCGACTACTGTTAGGTATGGAGGTGTATATTTAAATAGTTATGTATTACGTATGTTGATGTTAAAATAAATTGGTTGCCCCAATAATTTTTATAAGGAATTCATCTAAGCCAAGAAACGTAATAAGTGATCAAACATGTCGTAATTGGTGAGGTAAAGCATACATCGAGAGATAATTTATAGTATATATAAAGGATATCATGATCACGAGCGCTTATATTTGCTTCAGAACAAAATATATCGTTTCTGTACTTTTGTTGTGATAGCAGTTTCAACTTTTCAGCGAGGTCTCTTTTTTTCCCAAACATTTGACGAAAACACCAAATATTTTCATTTGGGCCCAATTCTTAAAAGATGCTAACTTATCTGAACTGTCATTAAAGAACATGACTATGAATAAAGTAGTAAAGATCTTTGTATACAGTTAAATTTCTTTCCTTCGGGGTGATTTCTTTAGTTGCACTTCCTTTCTTTGACGGTAAGGTTGGCTTCTTTTTTCAACCCTTGAGGATCAAGATGGTTGCTGCTTCACTTAGTTGTTTACTTAGTCTGATTTTCTGTTATTTATGATTCACTTTAAGTTTGGTCCACAATGGAATTAACTGGAACCAAGTTTAAGGTTTTGCTGTTTTAACTGTTCTGCTTCTGTTTTTATTCTTTAATCTTTTTCGGGGTTTCCGATATTTTCTTTTTCGTAAATATCCGCACAGACAATTTTCTGTTATTAGTGAAGTGGTAGACATGATTCTTTCCTAACATTAACGAAAATGATTGAGCTGAAATGGGGTCCGCTAGACTGGATCCGCCAAACTTTGGGAAGAACTATTTGCAAAGTTTCCCGTTGAATTTGCTTCCTCGCCAGTTTTATGTCGCAAGAAAATATTGACTTTTTTTTTTATAATTATTTTCTTCTATGACAAAAAGCTTCTAAACGCGGTTAGTCCATTTTGATGCTTTTGGTGCATGTGTTTACCGGGCAATCTGGAACAGGTTTAGGTGAAATTCCCTTGAATTTTGAAGGTGTTAGACCATCCTTCTCATGAACATCATTGACAAGATAATGTTCAGGCAGCCGCAATAAATGCGGTGTACTTTTGGAGATGAAAAGGTACAGAAAATATCAGTGAGTTTATTTCTTTGGAATGTTTCATCTCCATGTTTTGAAGCTTTTTTAACTCTACTTGGTTACCATCTCCAGTTTCCAGGAAGTCTGCGCTTGATGGACTGCTTACCAACTACCAGTGACAAGAAAACGTTGAAGAGGTGGTTTTTCATAGATAAACGGGTCGGGTAAAGAGTTCTTGGATTAAGTAGACGTCTGTGTTTATTAATACTGTAAGTAGGCATTGCAAGTGCGGTCTGGCCAATGGAGTTGAAGTCAAATCATGCTTCTCCTGTTCTCACTGATCCCGCACCAGTAAACAAGTCAAGACTGGGGATCCATTCAAGTCTGTTGCCTTATGGGCAGCCGGGAGCATCAGTTTCTTCTGGAAAGTTTGTAACAATCCCAAGAAAAAAGCCTGGAATGTTTGATGATGTTAGGTCCAATGGTTGGCTGGATGCCATGAAATCCTCATCACCTCCTCGCAAGAAGCTCCTTAAGGATTTCAATTTAGAGATAGCTTCAGATGATGTTGACGTTGCTTACAGCTCCTGGATGGTATGCTCATTTAATCTTTGATAAATAAATGGAATGATTTAAGAACATTGACTAACGTTATATTATTTAACTTGTATCTTCTAATTGTTTTCTCTTCTCTTCTTCTGCTTTTGCAGCTTAAGCATCCTTCCGCACTTAAATGCTTTGAGCAAATTACTAATCATGCAAAGAGCAAGAAAGTAGCTGTCTTTCTTGATTATGATGGGACTCTCTCTCCCATAGTAGATGACCCAGATCGTGCCATTATGTCTGATCCTGTAAGAGTTACTCGGTATTTTCCTCTAAAAAAAAAGAATAATTACCCTGTGTTTGTTATATGCACAAGAAATGCTGAAATCAGACAATTTGTTTGTCAGATGCGATCGACTGTAAGAGACGTTGGAAAGATTTTCCCTACAGCAATTATTAGTGGAAGAAGCCGTGACAAGGTAGTTTCCCTGAACATTCAAAAGTTTTATTTTATTCTTTTTCCTTTTTCCTCGTGAAAATTTTATCAGTATAATGCTCTGTGTTCAGGTTTATGAGTTGGTAGGACTAACAGAACTATATTATGCTGGTAGTCATGGCATGGACATCATGGGACCTGTTAATCACACAGAGCCCAATGGCCCATCCCAAATTGTACTAAATCTACTGACCAACCCGGTAATATGTGCCACTAAAACCTCAGTCACTTAATTAGCTTTGAAAAGAAAAAAAAGTGGTGCCCTTTGATTTTGTGGTTGATCCTCGTCTATTTGGTTGTGGTAGGGGGAAAGAAGGTAAATCTTTTCCAGCCCGCTAGTGAGTTCTTACCCATGATTGACGAGGTTTTTAGAACCCTCGTCGAGAATACTAGAGGAATCAAAGGTGCAAAAGTTGAGAATCACAAGTTTTGTGCCTCTGTACATTACCGTAATGTAGATGAGAAGGTGAGGACTTAAACAGGATTTAACTCTGTCTTCACACGCTTTGAATTTGGTTTCCAAGTGAGATTGCGTGTGTTTCATCTTACTGCAGAACTGGCCTACTATTGCACAATCAGTTCATGATATCTTAAAAGATTATCCGCGGCTGCGATTAACTCACGGGAGGAAGGTATTCTGTATTGGCTTTAAATGCTTCTCCTACTACATTCATGAATATATATATATATGTAATAAAGTTGGGAGTTTTTGTTGTGGCAGGTTTTAGAGGTTCGTCCTGTGATTGATTGGGATAAGGGAAAAGCAGTGGAATTTCTGCTCGAGTCCCTTGGTATTTATTCTATGTCGCTCTCTGTTCTTAATTTTATTTTAAATTATAAAAATTGAAGCAATCAGCATAGAGTTGAGGATGAAGGGTCTGGTTTTCTCTTATTTAATTTGTGAAACAAAATTGCAGGGCTAAAGAATAGTGAGGATGTGCTCGCAATTTATATTGGAGACGACAAAACAGATGAAGATGCATTCAAGGTTAGAAATTGTAAATACAGAGTGGTTGGTTGTGAGATATTAGGTGGTAGAATGGCTATAATATTGATTTCCACAGATGTTGCGAGAGAGGAATCAAGGATATGGGATCTTGGTATCTTCAGTACCCAAAGAAACCAATGCATTTTATTCCCTCAGAGACCCATTAGAGGTGTTTCTTTATTCGTTTTGCCCTTGATTTGATATTCAGAGACGGTACTTAAGTGTCTAGCAATTATTTATAATATAAATGTTTTCTTTTTTGGGGGTGGGGGGGTGTTTTGCAGGTAAAGAAATTCCTCAAGTCTCTGGTAACATGGAAGAAACTAAACGTGATGTAAGTTGGCGAGAGGAGCACGGAGTCATCCGCCTATAGGATATAGCCCTTTAGGTTAACTCATAATAAACCAATGGTTCTAGTTGGCTTTTTTCCACCTATTATATTTTAGTTATTATTATTATTTTTTTAATATTTTACTTGTGGTAAAGGTTTTCTTTTTATTTTTTTTTTTTATTTTGTGGTCTAAAATGTTTAATTTGAAGTTTATTTTTATGTGGTTAAATTAATTGTATTCTTTATTGCCTTGAAAGGTTATGTGGCATGGTTGTATGTATGTTGATTAAAAAAAAAAAAGATGAAAACAAAAAGACAAAGGTAAAAAGCTAAAACTATGAAATAAGATCCCAGTTGTTTGAAGGAATTGGACACATGAAAACTGTCAAGGACGGAGCATACAAGAAAAAATGTGGTGTGGAATTATCTTCCATCTTAGATATAAATTAGAGTCGGCCAACTTTGTTTGTCTGTTTTGTTTCACTATTATTTGGAGCATGATTCAGAAAAATGTGTAATCCACATATATTATTACAACCACTTATTCTGGCTTTACCCGAAACTGAGGCAATTAGTTATAAAAATTTCTCTCTTTTTTTTTTTTTAAATAATAATTCTAACTACATTTACTATTCTCAAAAATCATATGTATGCATTTTAAGTTCTTATTATTTAACTATTACGTGGCACATATTCAAATTTTATTTAATATTTGTTAAAAAAAAAACTGTACTTAAATTATTTATTCTTTATTTAAGATCTTCATTATTTATTATTTAATAGTTAGTTTTTATAGAAAAAAAAAAGAATTTTTTTATTAATCGAAAGAATTAATTAAAATATTAATCTAAAATTTGTTGGAAGTTTCTTTCTTTATTTTTTTATTTATTTATAATTTCTTCTTTGTTTTTTTATTAATTTTACTCAAATATATAGCTAAATTTTTATTTCGTATAAGAAATAAGAATATGAGTTTTACATTTTTTATAATAATTAAAATATAAAAAGAATTCTTCTATTAAACCAAAAGATTAGTAAAATTATTTGTTTAAATTATTCTTGAAAGTTGTAGACTTTAAGGATAAAAAAAAAAAAAAACATATTTATCTAAATTTTGTTTAAAGGTAAAAAGTCATTGATCTTTTTTCTTTTGCAAAATCAAAACATTATTTATCTTAGTAGTAAATGTGAATAAAGAAGGGAAGGAATAATTTAATTTATATTAATGAAATTGTAGTGGTGATTATATTAAGTTAAGTGTCAAAATAATTTAATTTATTATTATGTTAATAATATTATAAATAAATTTATTAATTTTTTAAATAAAAAGAAATATTATATAATAATTAGTTGTTTTTAAAAACTCCATCTTTTATTTATTTAAAAGAAAAAAAAAATAGAAAAAGAGCGAAAGAGTGACACGTGTAAAATATCTTGGAATTCATTTATATCTTAATTTCATCCAGTCACACTGCCCCTACTTCAATACAAGACGGGAGAAATGTATAACTGACAACTCGAGCTTCAACCCCCCACCAACCTTTGATCCCATCCCCAGCCACCTCATCACAACACTCTTCTTCTCTCTCTTTCTCTCTCTCTCTCTCTCTCTCTCTCTCTCCCTCTGATTTTGAATCTGAAGCAGAAGGAATGTCACTCTCCTTGCAATCTCCGCCATTCTCAGCTCTCTCCTCCTCTTCTTCTTCTTACCAGGCAACCTCCTCTCTCCTTTATCCCTCTCTGCATGTGTATCCATCCTTTGTGAATTCATGTATGTCTATGCTTGGCTCATTTTTGTGCGATGTTGAGTATTGACAGAAGGGAAGGCTGAGTTTGACGGGGGGATCCGCAGCTTCTACTCTGCTCTTCAAGCTCCAGAGATCATTTCCTCGAATTCGAGCTTCTTCTCTTGACACCGGTACTCTTCTCTCTGTCTCTCTGTCTCTCTCTCTTCGAATTTCAACAATATTCTTATTCGATTCCTGCCTCCATATAATATACATTATGCTGATAATTTTTTTTTTCCTTTTGCTCTTAAGGAATGGGCACTGAATTGGATGCAGTGTCTGCCTTCAGTGAGATCGTACCTGACACCGTTATTTTCGATGATTTCGAAAAGTACCATTCGTTCCCTTTTATCTCTCTCTTTCTCTAACTTGATATCTGATAATGGAATTCAGTTTTGATGATATTGTTCGGTTGCTGCTTTTAGATTGTATTTGATATTTTATCTCCCGTTTACTGCAACATTGAAGCCAATTACAGAGATTATCATATAAAACTCAAAAATTCAGTTTCACAAATTTTCATCTGTGTGTTTGTGTGTTGTTGGTAGGGGATTACAAGAATTGATGGTGTTTTGTTAATGTTTATTTATCAATTCAAACACAGGTTTCCCCCAACTGCTGCTACCGTTAGCTCCGCGCTCCTCTTGGGTATCTGTGGTCTTCCCGATACCATTTTCAGGGTAAGTATACGATCTCAGTGAAATGGAAAATTGAGAAGCTAAAGAAATACGGATTTATGTTTATCTAATTAAATCATTTTCCCCCAATTGTGCACAGAATGCTGTGGATATGGCCTTGGCGGATTCTGGGTGTTCTGGGCTGGAAAACTCTGAATTGAGATTGTCTAGTTTTGTTAGCAAGGTTGGTCTTTGTATATATCGATCTTAGGAATGCTTACAGTTGTGGCTGCTGGATAGCTTCTGTTCCTGACAAGTGGTAGTTGAAGCGTAGGCTTTAGTTAATGTTGGTGGTGATTTGTCAAGGCTTGTTCCTGGTCGAGTGTCCACTGAAGTGGATGCCCGTCTGGCATATGATACTCATGGCATCATCAGGAAGGTATTGCCTTTTTTTTCTCCCTCAATTTGTTCTTTTCAGGCATATTATTTGGTTGTTGATGCCTCTCTTAGATTAATTATGACTTGCTGACTGCATCTCAAGTTGTTCATATAAACCAACTTTCTCTCTTCATACAAGTTGGTTGTTGGTATTAAAAAATGATATTCTATTCCTTCTTTTGAAAAATTAATCATGAAAAGTTGATGTATATTCATCTGAAATTCATTGATGATTACTGTTCGAACCTTTCTGCTTGAGTTTCTGGCCTCTGCCTGAGACATTCAATGAAAGACCGGAAATTTCGTAAGTTTATTGTAATGGCATTGTCATGCGTGACTTTCTTGAGATACTTTCATTCTCACTGATTCTAACATGCTTGCTAACAGTATTTGCTATACTTTGTTGACTTTTGGACCATTTATAAAGAGCACTAAATTTATGGTTATAGTGAGATCTCATTTTCCTTGGTAAGAAGAGAAACTTTGAGAATTTTCTCTTTGTGAATTGAGTACCATCTCATATTTAGTAAGTTACTCTCATGAAAATTCCATGTGGGTGAAAAATCCTTAAATATTCAAGATAGAAATGTAACATAGGATGCACTCAGAACAAGATAAAAAAAATAGAAAAATATCCAAGAGAAAAATGTGAGTAAGATAGAAATTTAGTAAACGCTTCAGATAGAATGAGATGAAAAGGGAAGCAAATAAGAAAAAGAAAAATATATTTTAAGGAGGGATTCATATGGATTTTGGGGCATTTTTTTCATGGGTTGGATAATACTTTTTTTTTTTAATTTCAAAATTTTGAAAGGATTTTGTATCAGTATCAGTCATATAACTTGTTCTTACCAGTATGTCCTTTTCTGGTAAGTTTATTCAGCATTCTACCTGTTATGGAATTTGATATGTTTGGTTCCGCTCTGATACGAAATTTAACAATGTACCTACTAATATTAGGGAAGTACAGCACCTACAGAATGGTACATCATTAACTACACTGTTTGAAATTGCATTTTAAAGCTGGAGTCTACTAAAGATGCAGGAGCTTGACTTGTAGATGTTCTAGTTGATATTGCAATTTAATAGCCGGAGTCTATTCAAAATTGCAGGTGCATGAATTATTGAAGTTGTATGATGAGGTTGATGTTCCTCCTGAACGATTGTTATTCAAAATTCCTTCAACTTGGCAAGTAAGTTTCCAAGAGAATATGCTATATTTCCATTCTAATTTCTCAGGAAAAATTTCAGTATGATAATCCTTGCATGTAAACTCATAAGTCTCCTCTCTCTGGCCTATCTCTTCTCATTTCCGTATCAGGGAATAGAAGCCGCGGGATTGCTGGAATCCGAGGGAATACAAACACATTTGACTTTTGTTTACAGGTATCCGGTCATGAAATGCATGCAGTTTGTATAAGAGGGGGGCCTGTTTAGGGAAGAATATTGGTGGCAGTATTGGAATACTACAGTTCTGGAAAGTGGACTTGGCCTAATTTTGTAGATTACACTCCACTCCTAATATATTTTAGTATCTTCTTAGATTTCTGTTAAGCAGAATAAAAATCTTCTCAGATATCTTCTCCAAAGGGGAAAGTTAAAAAAGGAAAACTTCTCAATTGTACTTGTATATCTGGACTGTTATTTTTCATAGGATTCTCATATTTTAGATTGAAAGTCCGTTAGATGTAATTGGGGCTTGTGCCATTTCACTGTGGGCACGCATTTGGCTTTCTAAAGCTCTACCATACTGCAGTCGAAACAGAAAATGTAGTAGCAATAAACTGTGTCAAGTAGTTTTCTTATCATCTCTGTCATTGTTGACTTGATAATCTTTTTCATATGAAATAATGGCGTTTACATCCTCCTTCCTTGCTTCCATTTCCTACATTTATTTTTATCACTGTTAGTTATGTGCCTTAAAGAATGCTTCTCTAAAATGATCCTTCATAATTTTATCATGTAAGCTTTGCTCAAGCTGCAGCTGCAGCCCAAGCTGGGGCGTCTGTTATTCAGATTTTTGTTGGGCGCATTAGGGTAACTTTCTAATTCTGTGGACCAGCAGCGTTCCTGTTGTTGGACTGCTACTTATTTTTCCTTTTAGTGTATGTCTGTTTTCTTAACATTTGTCCACTGATCTCAGGATTGGGCACGTAATCATTCTGGGGATCATGATGTAGAAGCTGCTCTTAGAAGAGGAGAGGATCCTGGTCTGGCTTTGGTTAGTTTGAAATTTTATTCTGTTGAGCTTTCGTTTATTTTCTAATGTTCAAATTTCTCCTTTAATGTGTCTTGCACTTAGCAGAAGGTTGGTACTTCTATAAGGAACTGCTGTATGTGCAAGCCATGCAAACAATTGATTCCCTTGGTTGTTTAGTAGTGTAGTTAAGTTGTTTGAATAAACTGTCACAGTAAAAGGATGTTTTGTACTAGTACAAGTATAGATCTAGAATATATTTGGTATTTTTTTTTGTGCTTTACAACTTCTCACTTTGTAAACCAATGTTTTCTTTTTTGAAGGAAATAATCCAAGGTTTTTCATGGCTTTCACCGAGTTCTATGGCATCTCCAATAGGGATAATACTTATTCTTTTACTATGTGCAGTCATTAGACAGCCTTGCATGTGGTGACACTATTTCCGATATATTTTTAAATTTTGATTTCACTGCATCAATGATGTCATAATTTTTATCCAGTATTCACTATACTGTAGTTGCTCTATCTTTGAACATTTTGTCTGCAAAAGTATAAACGAGATGCATTACTTATTCTAAGTTACCATTTCATGAGCTTAGATTGGAGTTTGTTGCTGTTTTGAGGAGTCTTTATAGCTTAAATAGGTGGAAGTTTGCCTAATTGGTTTGGCTTGTGAATTCTGTCTTTAATTTCTGAAATGTTTTTCCTTTTTTATTTCAAAAAATTTGTGAAATGTTTTTTAAGAAGCTCCTGTTTTAAAGACAGTTGCCCCGATAAATCTTTATTGCATGTACAATTGTAATTTTGCAGATCACAAAAGCTTATAATTATATTCACAAGTATGGATATAAATCAAAGTTGATGGCAGCAGCTGTGCGAAATAAGCAAGATCTATTCAGTCTTCTGGGGTAATTTACTACTTAACTTTAATAACTTTTAACTGGAAAATTTTAGTAATTTCACTAAAGTCTGATGATATTTTGCTTTCACTTTTCAGTGTTGATTATATCATTGCACCATTGAAGATATTGCAATCTCTCAAACAATCTGTAATTCCTGATGAGAAGTACTCTTTTATTAGAAGGCTGTCACCTCAATCTGCTGCTAACTACAATTTTACAGATGAAGAGGTCTGTACACTTTCCATCATCTTGTTCTCATTATTCTCTTGGAAAATGTAGTTCGTACATAATGATCCACCCATTTGGGAGATAAAGGTCCCATTTGGTCCACCCAATAATAAAAAATGCAGATTTATTTGGTGATTTTGGTAAGTCAGTGTAGCAACTGGAAAAATTGGGTCTCAGCCTGGAATAGCTTCAAGGTATCATGAATTGGAAATTTAGTTGAAGATTTAAATGAACATGATAACTCTAGTTTTATTGAAAGATTATTGGGTTTACTAATGCGGATGCAACTGCCAATTTTTCATCACAATCACCATTTGTTCTAGTTTCTTACTTGGCACTAACAGAAAAAACAACTTTCTGCTAGTCTGCTAACACTACTATTGTGATTGACCATCACGTATGACACGTATCAGGGATATAATATGCATAGTTTTTGCCACTTTAAGGCAAACTTTATACTGTGTATTTTCCTACACGTGTTTATATGGTGTGTTGTCCCACGGACCAGATGATTTGTGACACTTGTTTCTGTGTAAAACTTGGAGAGTGTTTCTATAGAACTTTTGAAATGTAGAACACTGGAAAGTAAACAGTTAATAATATAGATAGTTGTAAAGACTGTTTCACCTCGATATTGTTTTGGAAGAGGAAGGCTCTAGTGGTAGCTAGAAGTTGATTATTTTTGTATTCCGCTAGTCTATTTTGTTGTAGAGTGTGGATGTAGATTATTCATGAAAGATTCCTTCTTGGTGAAAAAATAATGAAAGTGTGTGATTAAAAATTTTTTTTGTGATGTCAGTCCGAAATATCAATATGAATTAATAAAAATATAATCATACTTCTTTTGTTGCTATTAAGAAATATTACACGCTTATGGTCGAGAAGTTTACTTATATCGCAATGTAAATTTTCACGAACAGAATTTTTAAATAAAGAGTAAAACATGACCTTTATGATTGAAAAAGATGGGTGTCCAAGTTTTGTGTGGTTGAGTTAGAGCTTGTTGATAAAGTCTGAAGTAGCGGCAGAGAGAGATAACTTAGCTGCATCCAAGTGTGCAATCCGTTTCTAGCTTTAGCATGTCTAATTATCTTTCTCAAGATCCTGAAAGTCATAATAAGGCAAGAAGAAGATTATTTGCAGTTCAAATCCTTTAATAATTTAGTGACCGACACAAGATTAGTACAAATGTTAAGGATATGTAACACATTCTCTAGAACCAGGATAGGATTAAGTTTAATGTTTTCTGTTCCTGCACTGGTGATTCGATCCATTAGCAGTAACAATTTTTCTACTACTTAAACATGGAATATGTGTGAAAGTATTTTGAAGAGTTGATCATATGGTTAGTGGTCCTTGAATTTATAATTCATGACATTTCAAAGTCTATTCGAGATATTTATATCGTGTGAGAAAGAAAACATATATGAGCATGTCACCAAACTTGTACCTGTGGGATTTTTTGGATTAGCCATGGTGGGTTTCGCACTAATAACTTGAGATGAAACCTCTGAATGATCTTATGGGATGATTAAGACCGATTAAATAGAGCAAAATTTAAGGATTACCGGGCTGGAACAGAATTTGCAAGCTGTTCGCAATAGAGGGCTAAGTGTGTGAAGAATCGACTGTGCTTGTGGGCTATGCACAACAGGCAGACACAGCAAGGTTGTAAGGGTGTTGGCTGTGCGCAGAAGGGCAGATGCACAGTTAGATTGATAGTGTTGCTGAGTAGAGGCACAGCTAGAGGCGCCAAACGAGTGGCCAGAGGTGTTGTTTGGGGCTGGCGCAGCAGAGGGTAGCTGCATAGTGACAACTGGCTGTTTTCCATCTACTGTTGCGGTTGTTGCAGTAGAGAGGTTGATCCGTGACTGGTGGTTGGGGTTGGTGGTTGCTGCTGCAGGGGGCAACAGCTGGTTGCATGTGTTGTGGGGATTAGCTGCGGCAGTCTGCATGTGGTGCAGGTCTGGTTGAATGGAGGAGATGTTGTGGAGGTCTAGCTTGTGCACAGACATGCTGGTGGGTGGTGCAACAGCCGGGAGCAGTGGCAGAGCCAGCTGGACGTCTGAAAAGATGTTGGATGCTTGGCTAGAGAATTCTGGCACCAATGGTGAAGGTCAGTCTTGGTGCTAGCGGCTGGATGGTGGTGGTCGGTAATCAAGACTGGTCTCTTAGGGTTTTGTGTGTTATTTCGGTAATAAAGGCTTATTAGGATTTATGAAGGAGGTCTAGGATTTTTTTTCTCAAGCTCTGTACCATGTTAAGAATAGTCGAACGAGTATTTTATTGAACATCACATCCTCATATATATAGGTTTTCTAAAATAGAAAAAAAAAATTAATTACATAAGATGTATTTTACCTTAATATCTTTTAATCTAATTTACATATAGTATACTCTCTTTAACAATTACAAGTCTTCTGAAGGAATCTTAGAAGCTATCATTCAAACTTGTTAGCACATCAGTTGATCCTATCATAAACTGGGCTGGTAGAGGATGACTTAGTGTTGGATAAGGAAATGTACTGGAGACTATTAGGAAAACTGATATACTTGTTACATACCAGATCAGACATTGCATATGCAGTTAATGTAGTGAGTTAGTTCATACACAAGTTCAAAGAAGTGCATATGCAAGCTACCTACAAGATACTCCATTACTTAAAGGGTACTGTTGGTAAGGGAATTATGTTTAAAAGAAATAATGAGCTACTTCTTGGAACATATATGGATGTTGACTATGCAAGATCTCTAGTTGAAAGATCACTTCTAGATATTATACCTTCTTTAGGGAGAAATCTAGTGACTTAGAAAAGTAAAAAAACAAAATGTAGTAGCCGGTCAGTGCAAAGTCAAAATTCAAGGCTATGGCTCAAGGGGTGTATGAACTCATATGATTGAAAATGATTTTAGAAGATTTGAAGATTTAGTTGAATGAGCCTATGACTCTATTGCAACAATAAATCAATAATTAGTATCGTTTATAATCACGTCATGACACGACGAAACATATTGAAGTAAACAAATATTTCATTAAGGAGAAATTGGATAATAGATTGATATGCACTTCATATATGCCTATTGTTTTGCAACTTGCGGATGTATTGATTAAATGATTAAGTAACCCTAAATTTCATGTTTTATTGTCAAGTTGGAAATGAGTAATATCTATATTCAAGTTTGAGGGGGAGTGTTGAGAAATTTGAAGTGTATATTAAAACAGAGTAAAAAGTATATTAGTAATATACTCATCTCATTGTAATTAATTGTATTTCTTTTTATTGCTCATGTAAACTTGTAAAAACTGGTCCTTTATATTTCAATAAAATGCATGTCATTTTTCCATGGAATCCAAACAATTTTCTACGGTTAAAACACTACGAGTTCAAAGCTTATTGGAGCTAAAAATCTCATGCGCACAAAATTACCAAAAATAATAAGCTAACCCAGACACCATCATTGTAATCTTAATACCATTAGATTTTATTTATATTTTTAACTCCGTAAATCATTGTTCTTTTATTAGGATTCTTTAATTATAATTAGATTAGGATTTTAAACTAGTATATTAGAATTTTACACGAAATCTAATTTTTGAGATCACTGCAGCTATTTAGAAAACTTATTTTGAGAATTTTGAGGAATATTTCTGGTTGTTTAAAGCAATCAAATCTTATATTTGATACTTAAAAAATTCTTCTTTGGCCGCATATCTAAGAAAACCTAGGTTCGGTATCTAGGTTTAGCCTCAATCCCTAATAGCCAGTTTGACCCACGCTTGTTCTATATCATTTATACATTTGTTTATTCGTAAAAACATATATAGTGGTGTGTATTTTTGGAGTCATCAAGTACAATGGCTTTACAAAATATTAAAAAAAATTATTTTCAAATATCATATTTTGTTCTCATTATCATTCCATTATCTTATCCATTTTTACTCCACACTACATACTGCCATGAATTTTTTTTCTTTGAATAAACACAGGAATAAATATCATGAATTTAGAAAATAAAAATTAGAAAATGCTTTTATTTACCAACTAGAGCCTAAAACATTTCCTTTAGAATGGTTTTAGAATTCTGGTTTCCTACATATTTCTGTCTGAAGTCTGGAAGTTTTCTCATTCTTTTCAAAAATAAAAGATAGCAGTTAGTAGTGCTTTCTTTCTTTATTTATTTATTTTTTCAGAAAACTAGTATATAAAGAGTTGAGTTTGCTAATTGGTTAACTTCTGGTGGTCTTAATTTTCAGCTTACTAAGTGGGACCAATTAAGCCTTGCATCTGCCATGGGCCCTGCCTCAGTGGAGCTTCTGGCTGCTGGGCTTGAAGGATATGTTAACCAAGCAAAGCGGGTTGAAGAGCTATTTGGAAAGATTTGGCCACCTCCAAATGTGTAAATGAGTTTTTTCCCCATGCTATGAAGATCTTGTCTGCATCAAATAAGTAGAAGTTTCAAGTTTTGCTCTTCCTTATTCTCCTTTCTCCGTTTGTCGGATACCTAGAAATGATATCTATCTAATGTGCTGTGCTGCAAAACTCTTTAAATGATAAGAAAGTGTGGGTTTAAGCCCCAGCCTTTTACAATCCTAACACTATGTTGCTTTGGTTTGCGCCTTTTGGTAGCTGAACAAAGATTCTGCTGCT